GCCGCGGGCCCCCCGCCGGGCTGCGGGCGCTCGGCACCGGCCCCGCGCGGCGCTCGGAGGCGCTGGCCGGGGCGCCGCTGGACACGGCCGCCAAGGAGTACTCGCCCAAGGTGCGGCAGCTGGTGCGGGACATCGCGGGGCTGACGCTGCTGGAGGTGGCCGATCTCAACGCGCTGCTCAAGGTGGGTGCGAGGCCTGACCCGACCCGGCTCTTTCCGGCCTGACCCGGCCTGGCCCGGCTCGGCCCGGCCGCGTGCGCCGCCTGACCGGCCGCCGGTGCCGCTGCTCTTCCCGCAGGAGACGCTGAAGATCCCGGACGTGGGGGTGATGCCCACGGCGGCCGCCGCCTCCCTGCTGCCCGCCCAGGCGGCTCCGCAGGTACCGGGCGCTCCGGGAGGGGCGGGAGCGGGGCCACGGGGGTCACGGGGGCGGGCTCGGCCGCGGGGCTTCACCGCGCTCCGGCTGCTTCCAGGAGGAGGAGGAGGTGGTCCCGCTCAAGAAAGAGAAAACTCATTTCACCGTGCGGCTGACGGAGCTGAAGGCCGCTGACAAGGTGAAGCTGATCAAGGAGGTGAAGAACTTCGTGCCTGGAGTGAACCTCGTGCAGGTGAGGAGCTGCTGCCCCAGGCTCTGGTGTTTAGCCCCAGGTCCAGCAGCCTCGGCTCTCTGTTCAAAGGGGAGCCTGGATTTATGCATTCAGAAGCACAGCCTGCCTGTGTGCATCTCAGTGCAGAGACGTGGGGAGCAGGATTTGGTTGCACCTTCGTCTGGCATTTTCCGTTGTCAGAAGCAGGGGGATGAAGGAGGAGGCTCAGAGATGTCTGTGCCGGCCTCAACTTCTCCAAACCTGAGAGCTGCTCTGTGTGAGCTTTCTTGCAGAGCTCAGGAGTAGCCAGCATCCCTTGCTGCAGCTGGGTTTGGCTTGCCTTTCCCAAAGGCAATGTATTTCTGAAGTTAAATGAGCCTCTGTAACTCACACATCTTGCAATCCAGGCTTCCAGCTTTTTTCAGGGCCCTTCATTTTATAGGTGGTGCTGCTTCTGTCCTTGGAGGAGATGGGCCTCAGTCCTGGGCAGTGTCTGAGCTCAGGCCCTTGACCTTGGATGTGGGCTCAGCATGTTGGGTGATGAAGCTGCTACTGCTGAAGCATGTAATGTGCTGCACATCTCCAGGGTGATGCTTTCATATCTTGGGGTCAATAGTAGCATTTCCCAGTATTCCCGCGTTGAGCATTGCAATGTCTGCTCCTGTTGTAGCCCAGGAGAGCAGAAGTGTTTGCAGATAATCTTCTGCCCCCCAATTCTCATTGCTGCATTGTAAAGCCAGCAGAGAAGTCAGTGGCACAGGTACAAGTTTGGCTGTCTCATGGGGATAATTTCCTCACTGTCAGTGTGGTTCCTCTGGAAGTTGTTCATCTATTATTGGTCCCAAGCAAACATGAAAATACCAAACCCTGTGATGGACGCAATCAGCAGATAATTAACTGGAGAGCTGATGCTAAGTGAACTTGGCTTTGCATGTGGCACCTGCTGGATGAGCTGTTTGCAGTGCCAGTTACTACAGCTAAACTCAGGTGGGATGTACCCAGGCCTGGCGTGTCGGGTGAAGCACAAACACACAACACAAACAGCTGTGGAGGTTCTGCCTGCAGAGACTCTGTTCAAGGTGGAGCCAAAGCCCTTTTATTGTAAACTTTACTGCCATCCAGTAAGGATGTTTTTTTCGAGGTTTGCGGGTGGATCTGCCCACGGCCTGTAGGGCTGTAGGTGGTGTGGAGGGATGCACATACAATTATTACCTTGGGGACAGGTGGGACCCAAACATCAGTGCTGTGGCAGCAGCTGTGTGATAAGACAGGTGCACACAGGGCACCAAGGCTGGCTGCACCTTAGGAAGCTCATCGGGAGCTGCCCAGCAGATGCTTGCCCTGTCACCACCAGTCCTGGGCTGTAGCTGGACTGGGAGCCTGCTGCCTCTGCCCCACTGCTGCTGCTGCATGGGTCCCACCTGGCTTGGGCTCTGCTTTTCTTCCCACCAAACACCAGAAACAGCTACTTCTCTTGACCAGGGCTGCTTTAGAATGGAGTCACACCTTCCTGAACAGAGTTCAGAAATTAATAACCTGTGTTGTGTTGCCTGTGCTCATCGCAGTGAGCCTGAACAGGCTCCTCTCCAAATCCTGTCCTGGTGAGCAAAGGCATTACTGCCCCACTGCTCACACACATCTGTGCCTTCCAACCCCAGCAAAAAAAGCATTTTTCTTCCACCACAGATACATAGGCATTGAACCCAGCAGGAATCAAAAGGACAAACCTTTCTGCCAGTCCATTGGGTGCTAAACCCCCGCAGTGCTGTGGCAGAGAGCTGCTGCATGTGAGAGCAGCAGAGGCTTGTCCCCCTGGGCTCACTTCCTTCTCTATAGCAGCACTGCAGTAAATTCTTCAAATTAGCTCAACAGTTTTTCAGCTTGCCTTAAGCATTGCAGTGCTGCTTAGTAGCAGTAGTTTTGCTTTAAAAGTCCCTAAAATGTCAGAATACTGTGTTGTCAAGTAGTCTGTGCTGGAGCTCTGTTTTAGGCAGTGCAGCTGTGTCCACACCCTGCACTGGCCTCCCCTCCTGCTGGCACAAGTATGTGAACCAAAACATCGTCACTGAGCAGAGCCAGCCCAGCGCCAGGCACCTGGTGGGAGAATTTAAGGAAGAGGTTTCCCAGCAGATGTGTCATTGCTTGTGGTCAGGGTTAGCTGCCTTCTGGTGGGACACGCCGTACTTCAAGTGCAAGTCTCGGGGTTTGTGCTGGTCAGTGAGTTTCCACGGTTGGCTTAAGCAGAGGTCAGGATCATGGCTCTAAATCCAATAATCCAGTTAGTGAAAGCCTGTTTACAAGCCCTGTACTTTGTCCCTCTCACAGGCAAAGAAGCTGGTGGAGTCCCTTCCGCAGGAGATCAAGGCGAACGCCTCCAAGGAGGAAGCAGAGAAGATCAAAGCAGCGCTAGAGGCAGCGGGAGGGACTGTTGTTCTGGAGTAGTGTCACCATGGAGAGACTGGTGCTACAGCTGCTGCCCAGGCGGGCTCCGGACCTTTCCGAGTGCACGTGGCACAGTGGGAGCACTCTCCCAAAGAATGCTGTATGGTTTGGCAGAGCTGCTACCTCCTGCCATCACCATCATGAACTCTACTTATAAATACCCAAAAAAACCTGTAAAATTATTCATCTTTCTCAAGTGCCGATTATCCCCGTGCTCCCCGTTTCATGGAATCAAGAGTGGTTTAGGGTGGAAGTGACCTTGAAAGATCATCTCAGTCCAGCTCCTTGCTATGGGCAGGAGCTCCTTCCACTAGGCGAGGTTGCTCCAAGCCCCGTGCAGCCTGGCCTTGAACACTCCCAGGGATGGGGCAGTCACAGCTTCTCTTCACAGCAGCCTGTGCCAGGGCCTCACCGCCCTCACAGACAAAAATTTCTTCCTAATGTCTAATCTAAACCTACTCTGAGTTTGAAGCCATTTCCCCTTGTCCTGTCACTACACACTCTTGTAAAAAAGTCTCTCTCCATCTTTCTTGTAGGCTCCCTTCAGGTACTGGATGTTTGTACCAGCGCATCACCCACCTCCTTACTCTGCCTTTTGCTGATGTCGCACCTCTGTTAATTATTAACGAGAAGAACACACTTCCACAGGTTGTGGAGAGGCATGCGGGGTGGGAAAGTGTGTTCTGGAGCTGTGATTGTCCCTGCGCTCAGTGCGTGCACACTGGTAACGCTGCCGTGTGTGCCTGTGCTCCCGCACCTCTTCCCTCTGCTGAAGGGCTGATGGCTTCACCTCCCCATTAATTAGTCCCTTAATTATTAACGGGAAGAGCCTTCCGCGGGCTGGAAATGGGGATGTGTGTAGGGTAGGAACGGGGATTCCGGAGCCTGTGGTTGCCGCCGTGGCCGCCGGCTCGGAGATGCGAGCCCCGGGCCGGCCCCACCCGCTTCCGGTACCGGGAGGGGGCGTGGCTTAACGGAAGGGGGCGTGGTCGTGTCCCGGTGAGGGCGTGGCTTGTGGCAGAAGCGGCGCCCATGGCGGAGCAGCGCGTTTCGCGCTGGTACTTCGGCGGCCTCGCGTCGTCCGGGGCTGCCTGCTGCACGCACCCCTTGGATCTGCTGAAGGTGAAGGGGGGACACGCCGAGGGGCGGCCCTGGGGCGTGGGGAGGCCGTCCGGGGGGATGGAGGGCGAGTGTGAGAAGCTGGGAATGATTGCGGTGCTGTGACGGGATGGGGAGGCGGTTACGGGGGACCGGTGGTTGTGAGGGGACGGTTATGGGGCCGGTGGTGGTGAGGGCTTGGGGGGCGGTTAAGGGGGGCAGGTATCGGTTGTGAGGGTCCCGGACAGGGTGTGAGAGGATGGGGGGGAGTTGGGACTGGCTGTAGGGGTTCTGGAGAGTCTGCGATGGAGCGGGGAGTAGGTCTGAGGGTCCTGGAGTGGCTTTGGGGGACTGGAAGTGGCTGTAAAGGGGTAGGGAGGCGCTCCGAGGGTCCCGGAGCAGCTGCGGGACCGGTTCTGAGGGACCTGGCTGTGGGGGTGCGGCTATGAGGGTCCCAGAGCAGCTTTGAGGAGATGGGAAATGGCTTGGGGGGGACTCGGAGTGGCTGTGAGAGTCCCGGAGTGGCTGCTAGGGGATGAGGAGCTGCTCTGAGGATCCCGGAGCAGCTGAAGGACTGGCTCTGAGGTACTGGGGAACGGCTGCCAGAGGAGGGGAGAGGGCTGTGAGGGTCCTGGAGCAACTTTGAGGGGATGGGGAGCTGCTCTGGGGTTCTGGGAAGCAGGTCTGAAGGTTTTGGAATGGTTATGATGGGATAGGGAATGGCTGTGAGGGTCCCAGAGCAGCGGAGGGAGCAGGAGAACAGCTGTAGAGGACTGAGGAAACAGCTGCTGGGGGTCGTTCTGAGGAGCTGATTTGTGGCTGTGCAGGGGCATGGCTGGGAGTCACAAAGACCCTGCACAGGGGCATGGGTAGATGTGTGGCTGAGGGGTCCAGGGAGCTTGGGGTGCCAGCTCTAGGAACTGTGGAGGGTGCCTTGGGCAGCCCTGCCTGGATAAGGCAGTGACTCTGGGGTCAGTGTTGGACACTGGCCCACTGGGCTCTGAGCACTCCAGCCAAGATGTCACCTAGGCGCCGCAGATGACCCGGCATGCCTGCTCCTGCACAAAGGGCGCCGCGCGCAGCCCTGTGCTGCCAGCGCCCACGGATGGGGCAAATGCCAGCGCTGCCCAGAGCCTTGTGCGCCAGCCAAGTGGCGACGAGCCTGGCAGCGGAGCAGGCTGCGGAGGGGGAGGGAAGAGGCAGCCCAGGACAGGGCTTGCCCTTCCCAGGGCCATGCCTGTGGGTGAGGCTGGGCCATACAGCCCCTTCCCACCCTACGGAGAGAGAGGAAGATGTCCCAGGCACCGGCCCAGCAGAGGAACCAGCCCTGGCAAGGCATTGCCACCTCCCCAGTGCTCGGCCTGTTGCCTTGCCCAGCTGGCCCTGTCTGCCCAGTGGAGGTGGCTGCCAGCCCGTGGGAGCTTGTGTGGGGTGCCTGGCAAGGTGCTAAGAAAGGGAATTAGTCTGGCACCTGCCTCTAGCTCTGTCTCTGAGCCAGCATGATGGCTGAGACACTTGGGCTGCATCCCTATGCTGTCCTGTGTGGATGAGCAGCCCCTGCATTCCTGTAGGTGTGAGCAGCACAACCTAGCCAGCTGTTTTTGCCAGATCAACAATCACGCTGATTATTGAATACAGACCTGCCTTTGGCCATGTGTTCCCCCACAGCAGAGGCTGGTGCCAGGCCTGGGGAGGCACAAGGGGCCTCAGGCTCTGGCAGGGGAGGGGACGAAGGGCACTTCATTGTACCTCTGGACTTTGGCCCCAGTGAGAGGCCCTGGCCAGCCCACCTGCAGAGTGCTTGCGCCCTTAGGCCCACTCTGTGCAGCTGCTGTCCACCCATGGGCTGCTGGCCCTGCAGCAACCAGAAGTGACCACAGCCTGGCCAGCCCGTCCCATGGCGACCTGCTCTTCCTGCAGACCTGGGACTGCAGGCAGTGGACCATGTCCCTGCATGACTCTGCCTGCCCTGCCCTCCTCAGCTGCCCCAGGCTGTGAACAGCCACAGGCTCTGGTCCCTGATGTCCAAAATCCACCTGTGGGGTTTGCAAGCAGGCCCCTGTACCCCTGCTGCTGCCCCATATGGGAGACACTGGCTGTTCCCAACATCCTGCAGAGTGTCACACGACCCAGCTGTGCAGCAGCTTCTGCAGTGGCCTGATCCCCTGTCAGCAGCCCTTTGCTCTCCTTATCTCCTGGGGCCTTTGACCCACATGTGGCCTCTGCAGCGCTCAGAGCATGCTCCAGCATCAGCCCACACAGCTCCCCTCTCCCAGCCAGCTTCTGTGCCTGCTGCTGTTGCCCCTGGTGATGGTGGGAAGCCTTGGGCTGCTGCAGGCAGGAAAGGGAGCACCTGGCCAGCTGCGGGGCTCTCTTCCTGCCTGTGTGATTCCTGCACTGAGGAGGAGGGAAAGTGGCTCTGAGGGCCTGCTGCATTGCATGGCTGTGATTTCACCAGCCTAGCTGCATCCCCTTGAGCAACTCCACACAGGGCACTTGCTCACTCACGTCCTGTTGGGTGCACTCACGCACACCTTCCACCCTGAGGTGACCCAGAAGAGCAGGCGCCACCCTTCACCTTGGGGCCGGCTGTCAAGGGCAGGGCCTGGGAGGTGCTGCAGGTGCCTGGGCACTCCTCTGCCTCGCTGCCTCCACCCCTCCTGCCAGGCTGGGCCAGTCTGCTGTGGGGTGTCCGTAGCTCTTGCTGTTGGCTCCTGTCAAGTGCTGCTAACCTGACACATGCTCCGATCCACACCTGTTCGGTGTCTCCCTGCCCAGCCCTGGGGTGGGCTGACACGCTGCACTCTGCCCCAGGTGCACCTACAGACACAGCAGGAGGTGAAGATGCGGATGACGGGGATGGCGATGCACGTGATCCGCACCGACGGCTTCCTGGCCCTCTACAACGGGCTCAGTGCCTCGCTGTGCCGGCAGGTGAGTGCTGGAGCTCCTGCAGCACCTGCTGCTGCTGAGCAGCTGCCCAGTGCCAGGACACAGCTGCTCATTTCCCCCTCATCCAGATGACATATTCCTTGACTCGCTTTGGCATCTATGAGACTGCAAAGAACCGCTTGGGCAACCAGGGGCCTCCCCCCTTCTACCAGAAAGTGCTCTTGGCTGCAGTAGGAGGTGAGCCAGGCAGTGGGGCCCTTGGCCCTGGCTCCCTCAGGATGGATAAGCCCCTGACCCAACTCTTCTTTGGCCACAGGTTCCACTGGCGGGTTTGTGGGAACCCCGGCAGATATGGTGAACGTCAGGTCAGTTCTGTCTGCACAACCTGGGCTTTTGACCCGTGCATGATGGCATTTGGAGTGGTGGCTAGTGCTGGGGTTCTCCTGACATCTCTCCTGGCCAGCCTGCCCCGTGCTCAGTGGGCCAGGAGCTCCGTGCCCAGGACGGCCAGAGCTATTCTGCCTTTTGGTGACAGCACCCAGCTGTGTGTGACCCTCAGGGGGAGTGGGACTGAAGGCAACTTTCTTGGCCCTTTGTAAACGGGCAAGACGATTCCACTGCCCTGTGCTGGGGTCCCCGGTGCTGCGGGGAGCAGTGGGGTACCGGCTGCCCCCTCACCTGCGGTGCTCTGCCTTCCAGGATGCAGAACGACATGAAGCAGCCGCCGGCTCAGCGGCGCAAGTGAGTGAGGGGCCAGGGCTCGGGGCGCTGGGGAAGAGGGGCGGGAGGCCTGGAGCGGCCTGCGGGACCGGCGGGACCGGGGTCGGGTCCGCGCGGCCGCGGGGGGGCAGCACCGCACCGGCGGCGGGCCCGAGCACCGCACCGGGGGTGCCGGGGTCCGGGCCGGGAGCCGCCCCGGGAGCCGTCGGTGCCCGGGGGAGCGGCGGGGCTGCCGCCGTGCTGGGGAGCCTCGGGCCCTGACCCCTTCCCCTCTCGCTCCTTCCAGTTATTCCCATGCCCTGGATGGCATGTACCGTGTCCTCCGGGAAGGTGAGGCTGTGCCAGCCGTGTGGGTGAGCCTGCTCCGGTGTCCTAGCAGGTGCCGGGTCAGGGCACCCTGGAAGTTCGCTCAGCCGGGGCAGGGAAAGGGGCCGGGGGATGCCCTTGGGGCTGGGGGTGTCCAGGGGGGCGCAAGGTCTGGAATCTCCTCATTGTCCGGCTGGGGCAGGGGCTGGGCAAGGTCTGGCAGGGCCTGGCAGCCTGCACATACTTGGTGGGAAAGGGTGACCTGCTGGGAGCTGCAACTGAACAGCGCAGGAGAGTGGAGCAGGTGGAACAGAGCAGAGGCAGGGAGGAAGTCGTGGTGTTTTGAAGGACTCCCTACTCCTTCAGCCTGTTCGCTGTGGTGTGCTTCAAGCAGGGCTGTGTGAGGAGCTGAGGACACAGACTAGGCATGGAAGGAGACTCCCGGGGCAATGGAGTCTGAGTGATGGCAGAGAGCTGTGCTGATCCAAATCTGTCTGTCCACAGAGGGCCTGAAGAAACTCTTCTCAGGAGCATCAGTGGCATCAGCCCGCGGGGCCCTTGTTACTGTTGGACAGGTAGGACAGCTCTGCTGGGCAGTAGGTGACTGGGATAGGGACTAGGATGGTCCCTGGTATGGCAAGGAAGGGGGAACATGTCACTGATTCACCATGTCTCTGCAGCTTTCCTGTTATGATCAGGCCAAGCAGCTGGTTCTCGCAACTGGATTGCTGTCAGACAATGTCTTCACTCACTTCCTGTCCAGCTTCATCGCTGTGAGTAGGGCCGGGGTCCAGGGGCAGCGCTGGGGCTGGGTTTGCCTGCAGCCAGGGTCAGAGCACCAGGCTGGGGCTGCCAGAGCTGCTGCTCTGGGCTTGGCTCAGCACATGGCTCCAGGAGGCTCCCGGCCTGAGGTCCCAGTGTGGCTCTGAGTCTCTCCAGTGACCACAGCAGGTGCTGGCACAGAGGTCTCCTGACTGGGCTGACTCTCTGCAGGGCCTATGTGCCACATTCCTGTGCCAGCCCCTGGATGTGCTCAAGACCCGCCTCATGAACTCCCACGGGGAGTACCAGGTGAGTCACCCACCTTGCTGCTGCCTGTCCTCCCATCTCTGTGTGCCAGCTTCTGCCTCCCAGCCCCTCCCGCCTGATCTCACCCTCTCACTCCAGGGTGTTGTCCACTGTGCCATGGAAACTGCCAAGCTCGGACCACTTGCCTTCTACAAGGTACCTGGCTGGGGGCGCAGGGGGTGGGCAGGCTGGGCCGAGCTGGGAGCAGAGGTTGTGGTCCAGAACAGTCCTGGGGCACGGAACTTTCCAGGCTCTGCTGTGGCAGCCCAGCTGCTTCCTGCATCAGGCCTTTGTCTGCCCGGCCCAGGCTTGGCCCCCAGGTGTTGCAAGCCCTGGCCTCAGTGGGACTCAGCCTGGGCCCAGGCACCACAGCTGTGGCCCTGTTGCACCCATCGAGCTCCCAAACAGCAGTGCAGGTGCCAGAGGGATTGGCACATGGTGCTGAGCCCTGTGTGCACCGTGGTGCCATGGTGTGACAGCACCTGCTCCACAGCCTGGCCCGTGCTGACCCATGCCTGCCCACTCGTGCTGCTGCCAGGGTGGGGCTGCTGGCACGATCAGTGGCGGGCACACACTGATTCTTCCCCTTTGTGCTGTCCCCTTCCAGGGCTTCGTTCCTGCTGCTGTCCGGCTCGTTCCTCAGACCGTTCTCACCTTTCTCTTCCTGGAGCAGCTGCGCAAATATTTTGGGATCAAAGTGACCACCTGAGTGTGGGGGACTGGACCCTGCCTTGCCCCAGGGGGGTGAGCATGTGGGTCACGCCCAAGATCCCAGAACCCCTCTCTGCTCTCTGGGGCCAGTGCCATTCCCCCTCCTCTCAACTCTACTCCTGTGCCTTGCCAGCACCTGTGGCCAACCCCGCATTGCAAACTCGCCCCTCTCACCCCCATTCTCAGCATCTCCACCTCTGCATTACTGCTTCTGGGGGGTTTTGGGGGGGGGTTTCTGTCTTCCCACTTCTCTACTAGCTCCGAGTTGTGTCCTTGCCCCCCTCAGCCTTGTCCCTGATGTGCCCCAGAAGCAGGACTGTGCTGTCTCAGGGAGTAGGGAGATCAGATGCCTGGCTCTGTCACAGAGCCCGTGGGGCTGGGGGGGGCTGCTGACCCTGCAGCTCTGGGGCTGGGCTTGGGGCAGTGCGTGTGAGGCCCTCTCCTCCCTCTGCCTTTAGCCCCCGTGCTCCTCCCTCACCCCAGTGCAGCTTGGACCTCCTGCCCTGCTCCTGGCCTCCCACCCTCTGCTTCTGCTTGGCCAAAACTCCTCAGCACCGCTGGCTGCTGGGCTCTTCAGGGATCGTGCCTCATACCAGTGACAGTGGGGAACAGGGCCTGCTAACGCCTGCTCGGGGACCCGGTACTCGCTTACCACAGTGCACCTGCCCCACACTGCATCTGGTCTCCGTGGGGGCATCCCCCACCACCACTCTGCAGCCTCTCTCACCTTGGGGCTGAGCAGACCCCACTCCTCACAGCCTCTCCCCCCCCACTGCCCAGTGTGTGGAGGCTGTGAGCACCAGCCCCTCTGCTATGGCACCTCTGTGTGTGCTGGCCCCAAGGAATCAAAGAACTGGAATATCTGAGACCTTGATGTTTAATAAAGAATGAAGGTGGCACAGGGCCTGCTGTCCTCTTAGGAGGGGAGAGATGCTGCACCCCCTTTTCATGGCTGGGAACTGAGCCCCCAGAGCTGAGAGAGGGTAGCAAGGCTTGGCCCCTGGCGCTATGCCAAGGGGGTCTTCAACCCAGTCTGTGCCCAGCACCCCTGGCCCTGTGTGCAGAGGGAGCTGCAGAGGGGCAGGCTCCACAGCCGAGCTGTGCCCGGTCTCAGCTGGACAGCAGCTCCAGGGTAGGGCTGTGCCAAGGGTGCCCGTCATCCCTGCAGGAGCTGCCTCCTGGATGTGACACTAATTGGGCTCCGGCAGACTGGCACAGCAGAGCAGTGAAAGCTCGTCACCTTAACAAGGCCTAATGATGCTAACTGGCATCAGCACTCTGGGCTTATGCCCAGCCAGCAGAGGCCATGGGCAGGTGAATGCTCAGGGAGCTCTCCTCACAAGTAGCTGGGGCTACTTGTAGCCCTGCCAGGCTGTGCTTTCTCACCCCCCACGTCCTGCAGCACTGCTCCTGGGGCTGACGGGTGCTGCTCTGTGCAATGCAAAGGGCCAGCAAGGAGCAGGACAGCGATGGAGCCCCGTGGCCCCCCAGCAGCACGGAGCTCTGCTCAGCCCCATGGTGGCCAGTGGCGGGGGCGTTCCAGTTGGGCTGTGGTCCCACCAGCTGTGCCAGCCCTGCGCTCCCGTGTGCACATTCCCTCTCTCCATATCCCTTGTGGCAGCTGAACTGCAGCAGTCACACTGGCAGGCAGGACAGCATGTGCCAGACACAGCCAGGAGCACAGCGCCCACAGCTGCAGTGCGAGGGCACTACTCATCTCCTGCGCATCAGAGAGCGTGGGGCTGGCAGCAGTCTGTGGCTGTGCCGCCTGCCCCCTGCTCCCACCCTGCCCTCTACCAGGGCCCCGCAGCTGCCTGCAGGGGCTTCTCCGGGGTACCCCTCTGCCCGCACCAGATAAGGGTGGGGGCTGCCCGTCCTCCACCAAAGCCCCCTCCTGGCCTGGAGGGGTGCCGGGCCATCTCCAGGGGGGCAGCTGTGGCTCCAATCCTCGTGGCAATGGCAGGATACCCGCAGGCCCCAGCGTGCGCCTCGCTCCTGTGCCCACACCCAGCGGCCGCCGCGCAGCGCGGGACCCGGGGCAGGCAGCTCTGGGGGACCCGGGGCTGGGCTGAGCTCGTCACCGGGGCGCTGCTGGCTGTACCGCTGCTGCCGCGGCCCACGGTAAATGTGTTCGTGCCGGGAGACCAGGACAGGGCAATCCCCGGCCGGGGCTCCCCCGGATCCCTCTGCCGCCCCGGCCAGCCGTCCCGGTGCGTCGCTGTTTCTGGGCTGTGTTTACCTGCAGTGTGACAGCGGCGGCAGACACAGACCCGTCACCGCCGGCGGCGGCCGGAGCGCGGGTGTTGAGGCGGCCGGCGGCGGCGCGGCCGAGATCCGCCCGGGTCCCCGAGGGTCCGAGCGGCTCCCGCGGCGGGGCCGCCAGCACGGAGCACGGCAGGAGCGGGCGGCACGCTGGGACCGGGGAAACCTCTCGCGGAACGGACCCCCGGGGCTGGCCCAGTCTAGCTGCCCCCGCCGCTCCGCCCGTCCCCGCCGAGCCGAGCCGGTGCCCGGGAGTGGGGTGGGGCAGGGACAAGCGCCCGCAGCTCCCGGGAGCGACCGCCGGTGATGCGGGGGGCAGCGCCAAGCACTCGGGCGGGGCTGGGGCACCAGGCTGTGCCCCCCTCGTGCCGGCGGGAGGAGCGGGGCGGCGGGACGCGGCTCCGTGCCCGCGGTCCCTCCCCCCGAGCAGGTCCCTCCCCCTGAGTCGCCACAGCCGCTGCCGTCGCGGCTCCGCTAAAGTTTTCGCCGAGCGCGCCGGACCCAATCCCCGCCGGTCCCGAGATGCGTTCGGGAGCCACCGCGAGCCCAGCCCCGACAGGTACGGGGAAGGGAGGGAGGAGGGCAGGGAGCGCCCAGAGTCGCGGTCTCGGAGCTCGGGATGTCGCATGTCCCGTCGCCGGGACGTGGATTCCAGTGACGACTGCGCAACCCCGGGGCCACGAACTGAGCCCCGGGACCCCGGAGCAGCAGCTCCCAGAGCCGCCCCGACGCTGGGCGCCGACCCCGGGGAAAATGAGCCCCTGGCTCTTCTGGGCCTGGGGCTCCCGCAGGGCTGTGCCCGCTTCCCGTCCGACCGCTGCCGCTGGCATCCCTGGGCAGGGGCGCTGCCGTCGGGCTCTCAGCACCGCTGGGCTCTGCCGCAGCTGCGGTGAGCCCCGGGCCAGCGATCCCAGCCGAACCCCGTCGCTTTGGGAGCAATTGCTGGGGCAGCCCTCAGTCGGGGTGGGACGCGCGTGGTCTCCCTGCCGTGGGCACAGCAGTGCCCATGGCTCTCCTGCCGAGGGGCCGAAGCAGGGGACACTTTGCCAGGTCCCAGCTCGTCCCAAGCTCTCTGGGTATTACGGGGGCCTGGTGCGAGTGCCCTTTGTGACTCTGTCCTGAGCTCTGCTGTGTCAACACGGTGTTGGTAAATGGCTTTGTTTAACCAGGACATGTCGGGTATGTGACCTTGCCGTCCTCCTGGTTGCAAGTGCATCTCCAAAGCTGCTGCGGGTCCCCTCTGCCCGGCACTGCACTTCCCTGGGTGGTGAGGGGAGCAGGGCCCGTGGGGTCAGCCTGCTCCCCTCGCACAGAGTGGCCTGAGGATGGAGCATCAGCTCTGCTGAGCCCTTGTCGTGCGCCCCACGGCACAGCGCCTGCCGCGGGAGTCCTGACCCACACCAAACTCAGTGACTGCCCCTGTGATTTTGTCTGTGCATCAGCAGGAAAATTTAGAGCCTGCAGGACCCCTCGTCAGCGTGTTAGTGCTGCCCCAGCTGCCAGCTCCTGTGGCTTCCCACCAATCCTGCTCCTTTCCGCACACTGCGGTGCATTTCTTTTTTTTTTATTTTTTTTTTTTGTGTTCTGTTGCCTAGAGAGGGGAAAAGAGAAAAGGCTGAACAGAGAATAGGCAAAATGTGGATTAAAAATAGTTAATGAAAAAATGTGACCACAAGCCCTGAGCAGCAGCACAGGGCTAAAACCAGCCACTGAGCACAGCATCTCCATGCACCTCGCTGTGCCAGGCAAGGACAGGGGCAGGGGAAGCCGGACAGGGGGGAGATGGGATGGCTGCTCACCCCATCCCGCTGTGCTCCACCACTGCATCCTGCTTTGTCCTGCATCCCCATGCCCTTGTTTATCTACCCCAGCGCTGGGGTCGAGTGCACATGCCTGTGGTGCCAGTGGATGGCTGGGCACGTGTGGCTCCTCAGCACCCCCGCCTTGCTGGGGCTGCTCCCTGGCTGTACCCGGGGCTGCAGATCTGCTGTTGGGCTGGCGGGTGTGGAGCTCCCAGTGCAGGGCAGTGTGTGCACTAGCCTGTTTGCACTGACCTTTTCCTAAGCTTTTCCCAGCCCTGTGCCTCCCCTGTGACATGCTAACCACACGTGTTGCACCGTGCCTCTTGTGCCTTCCTTCTGTGTTTCACAGGTTTTCGTGCAACGTGATGAACAAAAACACCCCTTTCCTTGAGCAGGGATGAGGTGCTGTGTGGCTCAGCATCCCCATGCCAGAGCCAGCTGGGCAGCAAGGTAATTTGGCTGCTGCCAGGCTGTGTCATGGTCCCTCCTTGGTACAGGGCAGTTGAGCAGATGCTCCTGGCCCATGCCTTGTGGTGACCGGGCAGTAGTGGAGGTGATCCATAGAGCATTTGCCCTCTTTGCATCCTATGCTCCTGTTGACGAAAACACTGTCAGGGCTGGTTTGGGTTTTCTTGGTCCAAGGTGACACAGAATCCGACATCACCAGTGCCTGGTGACGTTGGCTCTCTCCATGTGCCATTGCTCAGGGCTTCCACAATCATGCAGCTCTGTGCAAACAAGTCACAGCCTTGCAGCACAAGGGCTGTTCTGGGCTGCTCAGCTGCTCCTTTGCTGCCAAAGTTCCTTGTACTTAGTTCTCAAGGAAAGAATGGAGAAGGGGAGTAGGAAACATCCCCGAGCTTCCAGCACGGACACGGGGCAGGGACGATGCAGGACAGACCTCCTGAGCCTCCCTGCCACGACCACCTCCCCCAGCCCTGCCCCGCTTGCCGCGGTCCCGAGTGGAAAGTGGAGCAGCATCTGCAGGGCCAGGCTGGCACTGGCATTGCATCAGCCCTGGCCCAGCACCGTCCCCTCCCCTGCCAAGTGCCAAAGCCCCTGCCGTGCTGGCATGTAGCTCCAAGCTCCAAGCCAAGCCAGCCATGGAAGGCACCGCATTAGCACATGGGGGGCTAATCCCTGTGTCCAGAGGCTGCACAGTCCCCACAGCTGCCTCCAAGCCAGCGGGGCTGGGCTGGGTGCAGGGCTGGGCTCACAGAAGGCCGAGTCCCCACCCCACTGGGGAGGCAAGAGTCCTGTGGGACCAGGCTCCGGGGGCTGCGCCAGCCTCTCTGCACTTGTGCAGGGCTGTGGCTGTGCCAAGGTGCTCCCAGGTCACGTTGCAGATGCCCATGAGTGTCCTGTGGAGACTTCACCAAGCCACTGATCCACATGACTGTCGGCCGTAGAGATCCCAGATGTGGAGCTCATTCTCTCACATGTGAAATGGCAGCAACGCCAGAGGGGCTGGGGGGGCAAAATCCTCAGGGGAAACTGGCCATGATGGGATGAGGAGAGGGTCTCTTCCTGGGCAGGGCTGGGCTCAGCCACCAGTGGGGGTCCATGCTGGTAAAGGGCTGCTGCAGGGTAGCATGGAGGCTGCACACCCATCACTGGGGAGCAAAATCCCAGCACAAGCCTTCTCCCATCCATGCCCTCTGTCTTGGTGCAATTCCATGGCAGCAGTGCACCCAGGTGCTCAATTTGCCCTGCACCCTTCCCGGGCTGGCCCCTGCCTCCTGACCACCCTGGGGCCAATGGCAGCTGCCATGAGCTGCAGGTCAGCCAGGACCACAGGGGCACCAGTCAAGGGGAATGGGGGACCTTGCTTTGCTCCTGGGGCTGCAGGGGTTGGCACTGCTGGCTTGGGAAAGGCAAATGCAGATGCCAGCAACAGCCACACTCTGAGGGCAGATGATGGTGCCTGTGTCTGAGCCCTCTGGCCCCCAGCACTGGGACTACCAGCAGTGGTGTTGCTCGTAGCCATCCCAGTGTTGTCTCCTTGTTCCTGCTCTCCTGGCACAAGGTCTCTTCCTCACAGCTGTGGCTCCGAGTGGAGTCGTACTGGGTGTTTGCAGCCTGGCTCCATGAAGGTCAGCAGCCACAGGACCATGACACAGGAACATACCCCGCTGTCCAACACCAGCGTGGGGCAAAAGTCCCCTGAACACCTGCTGTCATGCACTGCAGCCCCTCAGAGGCACCAATCCACAGGCCAGGCACCCTTCACCCACTGCTTATGACTTGGTGTGGTGGGGGATCCCCCAAAGCCTGGCCCCAGCTGGGGATGAGGTGCCAGGGCAGGGAATGTGGCACTGGGAGCCAGCTGGGCAGAGCAGAGTGAGAGGAGGTGGTGAGGATGTGGGGCCAGGTCCCTTGTGCAGAGCTGCCTGTGGCACCCAGGCACAGCTGGCAGGGGCTGCAGCAGGTCCAGCTGGCAGAGCTGCTGCCGGGCAGTGCCAGCTCCAGGGAGGTGCCAGTGCTGCCAGTGGTCCCGGCCACCCCAGACCTTGCTGTTCCACCACACAGAGCCACTGCTCCCTCTCTGCCGTTGCCCACTGACAGCAGACCAGGGAGAGCTGGTCCACGGCTACTTCTGCACTGCCAGGTCTCTGCTGGAAACAGCCCTGTCTGCAGGGACCCCTCGTCCTGTGGGTAGCGGGGACCTGGCGTGGTGCCACGGCCGTGCAGTGCCACAGGCAGCTGGGGCAAAGGGCCTGGGCAGGGTGAGGGGGAAGACCCATGCCGGGACTCGGAGCATGACTGGCCCCCGTGCCAGGACCCCTCACCCAGTGCAGTCTGCCCGGCTTGGCCACGATGGGGCCAGGCCGGGGAGCGGCTGCCAGATGGGGGGAGTCCAGGGCAGAGGCCTCCCTGCTGCTAAATCCCACTGCAGCAACTAAAAATAGCGACACCTCTGCCCCAAAGTTGCTCCCCGGCTGCGCAGAGGGGTTGACAGCAAGTCACTGTGACCCATGGACCTGGAGGAGCGTTCCCAACAAGGGCAGGGACTGATGCTTGGCCAGGGACTGGCACTGGCATCTTCCCGTGGGACTGGGACATAGGTGGCATGGGACAGGTAGGGATGATGATGTGCTGGAGGGGGGCACAGGGATGTAGGATAGGGCTAACAGGGGAACAAGGACAGGGATGCTGGCAGGGGGTGTGGGAGGAAAGAGACAGGGATCCTGAGGTGGGATGGGAGAGGGACTAGGACAGGGATACTGGTTGGGCAACAGTGCTGGTGGGGTGGGGCTGGGGTGATGACAAAACCAGGAATTCTGGAATGGTGAGGTGGCTAGTGGGCACCCAAGAAAGGTCCCTGTTCACAGAGCCCACCCAGTAAGAACTGTCCCAGGAGACAGCTCCCTCTGTCCTGGGACTGGCTAAATAAGGCCATGGCAGGTCCTGCTCCCCGAGCTGCATCTGGAGCCCCACGCGCTGATTAATGAGCTGCTCCGGCAGCCACTTGCGGCATGGCAAGTGGGTCTGCACGGATGGAGGAAACACGACTTTCCCAGGGATAAAAATAGGCACAAGCAGAGCAGCGAGCCCTGGGAGCAGACTGGTCGGGGAGCACAACGCTCTGGCTGGTGCCCAGGGGGAGCCCGGGGCTGGGGTGATGCTGCAGGGCCTGTGGTGGCCCTGGCACTGCTGTCCCTCCCATCCCCTGGCTGGGCTGCCCTCACCCCACGGAGCTGCGCTGTGCCATGGGGCTGCTGCCATAATGAGCCCTTGTGGGAAGAGCTGAAATCCTGCTCAGGAGCCCCATAACCGGCTTAGGGAGATGGAGGGAATTATGGCACCTCGTGAGCCAGGGCCTGTGGAGCACCCGGACCCCACGTCAGGCAGGCCCCACGTCACTGCCTGGAGCTGGGGTGATGGACCCACAGGGGCACAGCTGAGCTTGTCCTGGGGCCAGAGCAGCCCCACAAGCCAGGATCCTTATGGGCTAATGGCCAGTGTCCCCATCCCTGCTGGCCCCGTGCTCTCTGTGGCTCCCTGGCCACTGCCATCCACGGTGGGTGCTGCTGCCAGACCATGGCTGGGTGTCAGTGGCCCAGGCATGAGAGTCCATGGAGACAGGGGATCCCAAGTGCCAGCCTCTCTGCCTGAGAGGGTGCTCAGGTGTGAGGAGGGGTCCCTTCTACCATGAGGTCTGCATTCTCAGGACTCAGCAATGATGCACAGCTGGGTCCCAGCAGCAGTGTGGGGTGGCACCAGCCCAGGTTTTCTGTGGGGGTCTGGAGGCAGCACTGCCACTGCACTCCAGCCACACAGGGGCTGAAACTGGCTTGGCAGGCAGAGAACCTGCATGGTCACTGTCCTTGTGCCTTCCTGGGGAGGATAATACAGGCGCTTGGTGCAAAAATGAGTGAACAAATATCTGAATGTGAGCATCAAGCAGGGTCGGGTGAGGATGGGGACAGGAGTGAGGCACCATGACTGTGCCTGGCTCTGTGCCAGAGTGGCTGCCTCCAGCCCCACCTGCCCTAGCCCCATGTCCCCCAGCTGTGTCCCAGGAGTGCCCATGACAAGGCGTCTTGCACAGGGTTGCCCACATGCCAGGGCCGTCACCACCAGGGTGGAGAAGCTGCTGAGGGCCAGTAGGAAGCCGTGTGCCCTGCGCTGTGTCCCATGCATGTGGTCCAGAGGAGGAATGTCCCAGCCTCGTCTCCTCACCCTCCTGGTGCTGCTGCTCTGCTGCCAGGTAAGGATGAGCTGTCACACATGAGGGTGCTCTCCCCCACGCTCAGCCCGCTACCCACGCAGGACTGCCACCGAGCCACCCATCCCACTGCCTCCCCTCACCCTGGCATGTGGCACAGCATCTGATGCCCCTTTGTGCCTCCTCATGGCATGGCATGGCTCAGAATGCATGGCATGGCAGGTTTGCCTGCACTCGCCTGTGCCTGTCCCCCAGCTGGGGTCACTGCCTGGCACAGCGTGGTGGCCCCTGCGAGTGGGACACGTGCGACGGTCCCTGGTGCCCGCAGGGTCCCTCTGCCCAGATCACGGATTACGTCGTTGAGAAATGGAAGGAGTACAGCGAGGAGTGCCAGCGCAACATGAGCCGCCTGCCTGCGCCCACAGGTCAGCGCCCCTGGGGTCCCGGGGGTTCTGGTGGGATGGGGCGGGCACAGGGTCCGAATGAGATGGGGATGAGGCAGAGGAGCCAGCACAGGGTACCTGCAGGATGGGGGACAGAGCAGAGGGGGCAGTGGAGGGTGAGGCCAAAGCGCCACCAGCTCCTGTCCTTCTGCAGAGCTGGTCTGTAACCGCACCTTTGACAAGTTCTCCTGCTGGCCCGACACGATGCCCAACAGCACAGCCAGTGTGCCCTGCCCCTGGTTCCTGCCCTGGTACCAGAAAGGTAACAGCGGGGAGGCCCGTGTGCAGCTGCAGCTGTGCAGTGTGTGCAGCTGTGCAGTGTGTTCACATGTGTGCAGCTGTGCAGTGTGTTCACACGTGAGCAGCTGTGCTGGGACACCTGTGTGCTGTGTGCAGGTGCTGCTGCGGGCAGTCACACCTGGGCCAGTGCACGCTGCCCATGGGGGTGCTGGGGCTGACATTCCACCATGCCCTCCCCTCACAGTGAAGCACAGACACGTCTTCAAGACCTGTGGGCCAGACGGACAGTGGGTGACAGGGCCACGGGGACAGTCCCTGCGCGATGCCACGCAGTGTGAGCAGGATGACGAGGACCTAAAGGCGCAGGTGGGCAGACCTGGGCAGCAGGGGTGTGAGGGTCCCTGCCTGCCCCCCTGCCTGCCCTCCGTCTGCCCCTGCCATCACTTGCTCCCTCCTCTTCCAGGAAAAATTTGCCAAGACCTATGGCAGCTTCAAGGTGATGTACACTGTGGGCTACTCTGTGTCCCTGTGTGCACTGCTGCTTGCCCTGGCCCTGCTGCTGGGCTTCAGGTGGGAGTTTGGGCATGGCTGTCCACAGGGTGGGAAGGTGGAGGCCAGGGGCCCATGCACGGGCATTGACAATGGCCCCCAAATCCGCAGCAAGCTGCACTGCATGAGGAACTACATCCACATGAACCTCTTCGCCTCCTTCATCCTGAAGGGCGTCTCCGTGCTGGTCATCGACGCCCTGCTCAAGACCCACTACAGCGACAAGATCGACGGCTACAACGTGCAAGTCTGGCTGAGTGACGAGGTCAGTGCAGCACCAGGAGGGCAGGGACAGGGACAGGGACAGGGACAGGGACAGGGACAGGGACAGGGACAGGCAGTGCTGTGGGGCTGGGGGTTGGCTGGGCTGGGGGCACTGGCAGCACTGCAGCCCTGACCCCTGCCCACAGGCAGCTGCAGGCTGCCGGGCAGCCACGGTCTTCATGCAGTACGGCATCGTGGCCAACTACTGCTGGCTGCTGGTGGAAGGCATTTACCTGCATAACCTGCTGGTGGTGGCCGTCTTCTCCGAGAGGAGCTACTTCACCCTCTACCTGTGCATCGGCTGGGGTGAGTGTGGCTGGGCTGGGCCCCCTGACCCTGTGCCCTGCTGTGCCTCACCCATCCTCTGCTCACCTCCCCTCAGGGGCACCCATGTTGTTCCTCATTCCCTGGGTCATTGTGAAGTTCCTCTACGAAAACATACAGTGAGTACCAGCTCCAGCTGCTGGCTGGAGGGGGGCACAGGGCACAGGTAGGTGCATGTGGGACTGTAGGGATGTTGTGATGGCCCTGGAGTCACTCCACACCATTGCCCATGGCAAAGAGCAGGGTTCTGGCCTTTAGTGCTTGCTTGATGCAGGCCGCCAGTGCCATGCCAGTCTCCAGCAGCTGGCTGGTCAAGGGGCTTCCTGGCAGTCCCCATCCCTCCATTCTGCAGGTGCTGGTCCACGAACAACAACATGGGCTTCTGGTGGATCCTTCGCTTCCCCGTGTTCCTGGCCATTCTGGTGAGCCCACTGCAGCCCCCTGCTCGAGTCTCTCTCACAGGCCCCAGGATGGCTGTGAGAAGACCTGCCGAGGGCAGGGGAACAGAGGTGTCCTCTCTGCCCCTCCTCTGGCTCTGCCTGTGCCCCTGATGGCTCGCTCCATTTCATTGCAGATCAACTTCTTCATCTTCATCCGCATCATTCAGATCCTTGTTTCCAAGCTGCGTGCACACCAGATGCGCTACACTGACTACAAGTTCAGGTGGGTGCTGAGCACGGCTCACCCTGTGCTCCCAGGGCACACAGGCCTGCGTGCCCACCCGTGACCCTGTCGCACAGGCTGGCCAGGTCCACGCTGACCCTCATCCCGCTGCTGGGCATCCACGAGGTGGTCTTCGCCTTCATCACAGACGAGCATGCCCAGGGCACACTGCGCTATGTCAAACTCTTCTTCGACCTCTTCCTGAGCTCCTTCCAGGTGAGCCCAACCCTCCCAGGCCAGCCCACCATGGGGAGACTCAGTCTCAGGAGGGACTAGGCTGATGTCTGGTTATGCTCTTCACGCCTCTCCTCCCCCTTCCCAGGGTTTGCTGGTGGCCATTCTCTACTGCTTCGTCAACAAGGAGGTGAGCAGGACAGCGGGGGCACGGGCAGCAGGGGCACGGGGTCACGCTGACAGCTGCTGCCCGCAGGTGCAGGCAGAGCTGCTGAAGCGGTGGCAGCGCTGGAAGCTGGGGAAGGACCTGGCTGAGGAGTACAAGCACACCTACAGCCACGCTCCCAGTGCCCGCAATGGCGCCGGCAGCACCTGCGAGAAGCACCAGCTGGTGAGTGGCTGCACCAACGGGCTGGGGCGCAGCCTGGCCCCCCAGCCCAGCTCCCAGCGCCTGGAGAGGAGCGGGCGCAGCGCTGCCGAGCACCTCGCCCTGGGGGGCCATCACCACTGCTATGAGTTTCCTGAGACCACGGCCGAGAGCCACTTCTGAGCCCGCTGCCAGGAGGGAGGGCTGTGCTGAGCCGCCGGGATGCCGCCGTGCCCTGCCCCGTCCTCGCCGGGTGCTGGCGGGCACTGGGACCTGCCACCCTGGGGAGGGGCACACGGACAATGGACACAGTGAGGCAGGCAAGTGGGACCTGGACCTCTGGAAACGGGAACTGTGGGGCCAGGGGGATCTGTAGGGGTGGGAGTTTGTCCTGTGGTGCTTCCCTCGTGCACCTTCGAGTCCCTGTGCACAGTGCTGTAATTTATCTGTCATATCTGTAAATAGGTGTGGGCCCGTGCCGGGCTGCAGGGCCAGCTCTGTGTGTGCCTTGCTGTGGGGACTGGGGACACTGGGGACATTGGACATTTGTGGACTATGCTCCCAAGCACCCCACGGATGCTCCCATGCCACAGCCCTGGATGGGGAGCTGAGTCACCTGGCAGGGATGTGCTGCTGCAGAAGACAGCCCTGCTGCCTGCCCCACTGCCTGCCCGCAGCCCCGCAGCCCTGCTGCCCCGCTGCCCGCCCCACGCTGCCGCACAGGTGAGGGGGGCAGACATGCAGCAGCAGCAGCCGCTGCAGCGCTGCCGGCCGGGGCACCAGCTGCCCCAGCACGCGCTTTCCTTTGGCCGCTAATCGGCTCTGTCCTCTCGCTGCCAGGAGCCCTTAATTAAATCATTTGGCTCTGCCCGCGGCACCCCCGCTCTCCGGTAGCTGGCCCAGGCCGTGGCCGGGCATCAGCCGCCGGCAGCGCGGGCTCGGTGAGCAGCAGCGGGGTGCGGGGCTGTGAGACCCCTGTGCCGACAGGCCGGGCGGGCTGCGGCGGGCACACAGCGGTGGCCTAAGAGGCTTGTGCTGCGCACATGAGCGCTAAGCCCGGATGCCGCAGCTTTGGGCACCACAATCGTCTGGTGTGTGGGGATTAGGCCGGTGCCGCTCCCCGGCTGGGTTCACCCTGCCCGAGGGGTGGCAGCGGGACGGACAGCCGCCCTGCCGTGACCCCCGCCGCCCACGGACCTGGCCATGGGCACTGCCCGTCACCCATCTCCCCGCCCTGCCTGGCCCCGAGCGGGTGACGGTCCCGCACACAGCCCGGCACAGGGGACGCGCTGAGAGCTGGAGCTGCGCCCCAGCAGTCCCGCCGTGAACACCGGGCAGGCGGCAGCCCCCCGGTAAATCGCACCCTGTCGCAGCACCGCCCGCCCGCGGCCCTGACTCCCACGGTTCCCCTGACACCCACGGCTCCCCTGACACCCTCGGGAGCCGTCGGGAGCCGCGCTGTCTGCGGGGTGCCCGGCCACAGCGAGGCACCGGTGGGGCTGGCATGGCACGGCCAAAGAAGCGATGGTCCAGGCCACGCAGAGCTTGGCTCCGGCAGCACAGCCCAGCCCAGCACACAGTAATTTTCCTCTGTTTACTCGACAGCTTGCTGTCTGCCCTGGCCGAGCAGGACCCGGCGCCCAAGAGGCAGAGCAGCGCTGGCAGCGGGGATGGGAGCAGCAGAGACGGGGGACAGAGGGTCTGGGCTGCAGGGCTGCGGGACGGGGGCGGTAGCACCGTGGGGCTGTGAGGACACAGGGACTGTGGTGGAACGGACGAGAGGAGGGGAGCACAATGCTGGGGGTATTCCCAGGCCGCCAAGTGCAGGGATGGGGACAGGAATAGAGAGAGGAACAGGGATTACCCCGCTCACAGCCATGGTGCCAGAGCGGCCCCGGCAGCCCCCGCGGAGCCAACGGCCCCAAAGCCGCTGCCGTCACTGCGGCCTTCCTGACGTGGTAACGAGCCTAATTGAGGCAAATTGCTGGAGCACCGAGCAGTTTCTGGGAAGGTAAATATGGTCATGGCACGGGGCTGTGCCCTGCGCCTGTTGTTCCAGCGTTGCTGTGGCAACACCCCACTCTGGACCCCAACCCCGCTGGGGCCAGGCTGGCCCCCAGACCTTGCCCAGCAAGGGTGGCCCTACGTGTGCCACACAATGATGGGGACCCTTCACGGACCTCGAGCCAGCCCCAGCCCATGGGTGTGCCGTGGAAACGTCCTGTGTCCCCGGGTGCTGAGGGGCAGCCCCCAGCGCTCCCCATGTCCCACAAACACCCAACAGCCCAAGGAGGGATGGTGTCTGCCAGTGCCCAGGAGCCCTGGGCAAGCACACGATGCCTGCCTGCACCAGGCCATGTCCCACAGCACCTGTGCCAGCCAGGTGTGTCCCGGAGCTGGACACTGCCTGTACTGCAGGGCTGAATCTGCAGCCCTGTGCCCTGATGACCTCCAGCTCCCACAGAGTCACATGCTGTGGCCAGCAGCTCCCCAATAACCATGGTAACTACAGCCCCCCGGATGGTCGGGAGGCAACTCTGTTCCTGGGAGGAAGTGGGACTGGCCCCAGCCCAAGGACACAGCTCTTGTGGGACTGCAGCACCATCCTGTCCCATCACTGCAGAGCTTCTGCAACGGCACCCCTGCCTGCCTCAGCCTGGCACTGCCAGCAGTGCTGGCACCCATCCAGTGCTGTGTCCATCCTGTGCTGTGTCCATCCTGTGCTGTGCCCATCCTGTGCTGTGCCCATTCTGCCAGCGCTCAGGGGCACCCCCACCCCGAGGAACAGCTCAAGCAGCACAGCCTGCACATGTGTGTGCACACGTACACCACAGGTACACCACACACACACACACACCCAGCACACATGTACACCACACACGTACACCCTACACACATGCACTTGCACACAGACGTGTGCAGACACACACACACAGGTGTGCACACACACACACATGCACACATGTGCATACATACTCACGTGCACACACACACACACACACACACACACACAGGCGCCGCCCTTGGCTGCCCAATGGGAGCCGCTCATTCCTGGCATCCAGAGGGATGAAGGCACTGACAGCAGCCTGGCCAGACTTGCAGGATGGTTTGGGCGGGAAGGGACCTTTAAATGTCCCCTGGCCCAGCCCCCACAGTGAGCAGGGACACCTGCACCAGACCAGGTTGCTCAGAGCACCATCCAGCCTGGAACTGAGTGTTTCAGGGATGGAGCAGTCAAGCACCCCCTGCCCTTCCATGCTGGAACCTCGCTGTCCCAAGCAGACTCTGCAGACAACACAGCGCAGCCATGGTGTGGAGCTCATCCCAAGGCAGGGAATGGGGCTGAGGCCGTTCCTCACCCCCAGACTGGTGGCCTGGGCTGTGTCCTCAGCCAGTGCCTTCCTGACACAGCCAGGCACGGCGGGCAGTGCCCCCACCCCAGCACAGCCAGGCACCCCTAGGCACGGCGCCTCGCAGGAAAATTCCCACTTTATCAAGGGAATTGAGCACCACAAATTGGTCTCCTAAGTCGATTCTGCTTGCTGCCAGGCCTCTTCCCCACCACCTAATTTGATGACAAACACGTTCCTCTCCTCCTCCCACCCTTTAATCTAATGAAGAGCACTGTGTCCAAGGCACAGGGAAATAAACCCTGATGAGGTCGATTTTTATAGGTAAACAGCCTGATTTCTCTGGCCTGTGGCCTCACTCCTCACACCCCTAACACCCACCACCTCCCCCTACCACCTCACCATGCTTGCCCTGTGATTTGGCATCAGTCTTTATAAAAATCACCTGCTTATAGAATGTTTTTTGTACATTTCATTAGAGCTTGAGTAGCTGCTTTGCCTCTGGCTTCACTGTGCCTGAGCAGAGAAGAAAAACAAGGCAGAAGCTGGTGGGGCTGCAGCGGGGCCCTCGTGCCCAGGGGCATGTGGGGGTCCTGCAGACCTGGGATGGCCCCAGATGGGTGCCCAGACAGGGGGGCAGTTCTGGGCTCCATGGCAGCTGAACAGGAGCCTGCCTGGACACAGGACACGGCTCTGCACATGCTAAGGGCCAAGAGCCAGGGCAGCCCCACTGTCCTGTCAGGCTCCCTGAACACCCACAGGGCCCATCCTGCCAGAAGAGTGAAAGGAGAGGGGTTGTGACAGTGACAAACATCACTCCCTGTCCCCTCCTGCCTGCAGCTGCAGGGATGTGGGCCCTGGGGTGGCTCGGGAGGCAACAGGGGCCGAGTTCCCATCTTGCTGTGCCAGAACCAAGCAGCAGGAATGTTTTGGTGATGGGAAGTAAACAGGGTCATGGCAAGTGTCAAGACGCACTCCAGCAGAAATTCTAGCAATGCTAAGTATAGCCTAAATGCCATTAAAGCAGGACAGGGAAGAGGATACGAGAGTATTAATAGTCTCAACATTTAAATCCTGGGTGCAGCCACAGCTCCCGGGATGCTGGCTGCCCAAGCCCAAGGGCACTGTGCCACCGACACACTGCACCTGCCCGCAGGAAAACCACCAGCCCCAGCAAGGCCAAGGCCCCTCTGCAAAACACAAACACAGCTCCTGCTCTCTGCCCCTTGTCCACGCCCCAGAGCTGGGCCAGGCTGCAGCACCACACCAAGGCAGCCCCAAAAGGACACCAGCGTTTATTTACAACACTCCTCAAGTGACATACCACAGAAAGGAAAGGGTACAGTACAACTCAAGGACTCAACAAAGGAAAGGTATTGGCAGCCCCAGGTCCCTGCAGCCCTCCCCACAGCCGCTGGCACTGCAGGCCTGGCAGCCCCATCCCCGCCAGCCCAGAGTACAGGCGGGCAGGGGGCTGCCAGCCCTCCCCACGGAGCAGCCCAGCAGCTAGGGTGGGCAAAGCTGACACAGTCACTCTCTCTGGCTCAGGCAAGGACGCAGGAACCATCCAGGCAGTGCCAGGAGCTTAAGGAAGCACCCAGGAGTGGTTCCAGCACCTGCGGCACCCAGGGTGAGCTGAGAGGCCGGGTCTCTTCTAAGGGCTGCGTATCTGGAAAATGGTGTTAGTACAAAACTGCAGCGTTGCCAGGGCAAGGAGCTCCTGAGCCTTGCTCCGTGCAGCCCCACGGCCACTGTCTCCTGTAGGGCTGCAGGTGGCCCAGGTCCCTCTGAGCACCTCTCAGAAGCCTGGGGCTGGTGCTGACACTCCATCTCCCCATCTGTAGGGAGAGGAACACCTTCCCCTCCACCACCACAGGAACCAGGCCTGATCTAAGCAGGTAGAAAATGTGGCCTCAGATGTGGCCCACGTGCTCCGGCAGCAAGCAGCCCAGGCAGCAACTTGCTGCCACAGTGGAACTGGGAGGAGCCTGGCTATGGCCTCCCAGCCCTCAGCTGCACAGCGGGGCTGGGCAGGGGTTGTCCCCGTGTCTGGAGGCACAGGAATAGACTCGACTGTGCCACCTGCCCTGGGCCAGCCCCAGCAGCGGTGGAGCTTTGGTGCACAGGGGAAAGCGAGGCCCCGTGCTGCCCGATCCAACAGCGCATCTGCCTCAGCCCTGCCCAGCCTAGCACAGAGGGCAGCGACAGGAGGGGAACAGGGGATTGGGTTGCTCAGCATGAAGTGGGGAAGGGCAGTTTGAGGCCAGAGAAAGCTATGAGCGGGGGGCTGGAATCCTTTGCAACAGGCTCTGGGCAGTCTTGGTGAGGCCCTGAGCATCCTCGACCTCAGGCAGCTTGAGAGCCAGCCCCAGAGCTGACTGGCTCTCCCGCGGGCTTTTAGGAGGACAGACCAGAGGAGGAAATCAACACAAAATCTCAAATTAAATCTGCTTGAGGACCTCAGGAGAGCAGCCGACCCGCAG